TAATTAATTTTTAAATTTAAGTATTTAATAAAATAAATTTCTAAAACTTTAAACTAAAATTTTCATTTTCAAATATAAATTAAAACTTTAATTTCTTTTTAAAAATCAATATCGTTGAGATACATTACCCTTTTAAATAAAAAATAAATAATTTATTATGAGGAGTCTATGATCATTTAATGATTAATGGATATTTTTTTTACGTTACATTATTTTACAAGATAAATTATATGTAGTTTATTTTATAAAATTATTTAAATATTTTTAAATAAATTATATAAAAATAAAATTAAAAATATTTAAGTAATTTTATAAAATAAACTACATATAACTTACCCTGTAAAATAATTTTTTTTATTTAAATGTTTTTACCTTAAAGTCTTGTTTGGATCACTAAAAATGAGGGTAAGTTAGAAAGTATTTTCTTCGGAAGATATTTACTCTCCCCGTCTCCCGCGGTAGGCGTTCGTATTTTTTGTATTTTTGTATTTTGTAGCAGTATTTGCTGTGTCAGTGTGATTTTCTGTCCGCCATTTGCATTTCTGAAAAAGGAAGGAGGCAGCAGTGCTGAATTAGTGAATGAAAGCTGATATTTCTCGTGATTTTCTACGCCCAACTTTCCCTCTGTACTTTTCTTTCCTCATTCACTCAATTCACAAACCTCCTCCTTCTTCTGCCCTAACCCTATTCTTATCTCCTCTTCCCTCTCTTCAGGAGCCCTAATTGCAATTTGTTTACTCTCTTTCTGCTGGTCTCGGTGAACCCATTTCAGGTATGCTTTGTGTCTTTGCATTTTTTGTCACCCTATGTGTTCTTCAAACTTTACTGGTTTTTCAAGTAGTTAAGCATGTATTTCTCGTTCTGGAGGGTCTCAAAGAAATATATGGTTGGGAAAGTTTCCATCTTGTTCTTTGGTAGTAAATAAAGGTGGGAACTTGGCGTTTCTAATGATCATTAACCATTGCACATGGTGGTTGTTTTGATCAATGTGGATTTCTAGACAAGTTCAGCCTTGATGGTGACATGTGATTGATTATACCTTAATTAGGTGTTTTGTAGTTCTCAACTGAATTCGACTTCTGAATTATCAAGTTAGCAGTTGCATTAGTGCTTAGCGGATTCCATGACCTTTGCTGTATTGTGCTTCTTTTAATTAGTTAAATGATAAACTTGATTTTTTATACCGGGTATGTAAGTTTTCTAAGAAAATATTAAATCATGTTATAGTTATGCACTACATGAAATTGTGCAGGAGCAAGTGGAGTTCTGAATTTCAAGTTATTTTGGTGGCCTCTATCTGTCTGAGTAATCATTGAAGTATTTGGATGCTTTAGGAAATTGGGAAAGGGGTTTTGCAAGGCAATTCAAATCTGAAAACCAATATTGTTAAAGAGAACCTTAAATGATATGTGAGGTTGTCTAATTACAGAGTTCTCCTCTATCCCTGAAATACTTATTCTGAAATGGGTTAGTTTGAATTGGTAAAGCTAAAGCCATAGTAGCTTGCCAGTGCTTGAGTTGGTTCCAGCAAAGGTTAGTATGGCATCAAGCACCCATGAAATTGTTGAATCAACTGACAAATTGGATGCTGGATCTAAAATGGGTGAGAAAGGCAGAAATCAGTGCTTTCCAAAGTCAGGAAGAAAGTATTCTATTGAGGATGATATTAATCGTCTTTTTGGGGCAATTGACATTAGGATGTCTTCTAGGTCTCCTGGCGTATCACATGACACTTTAAGGAGGAGCACTATGAAAAGACCAGTCAGAGTTAGTTCATCTCAAGCTTCAAGGATTGGAATTTCGGAGCCTGTGAACTTGAAGCAGGCACTTAGAGGATTATGCATCTCTCAGGCATCAGAAATGGCTGCTATGAAGAAGCGGTTATCAAAGCCAGCAGGTTCAGCGGGGGTCTTAGAATCAGGTTCTATGAAGAGATTGTACAGGACGGTGATAGTTGAGGCCAGTGGATCCAACCGTCCCCCAAATGAAGGTAAAGGGAAATTAGTAGAAATCTCCCTTGTTCCAGAAAATATCTCATCAAATTCTTCTGACCCAAAACCTCTGCAGCCACTGGAGGAAGAGTTTTCTGACCAAAATGATCATCTATCAAATTGTTTGGATAATGCACCAACAGAAAGAGCAATGATGACCGAATTACCATCACTGGATCATATTGCTCCTTTTCCAACAGAATCTAGGAATGGAGTATTGGTGGCAGGGCATAAAAATTCAAAATCCATTTCGACTCAGAAAGTCCCGGAGATAGGTCCTGCCTCGCTTGAGGCTTGTGTTGAAGCAACTCTTCCAGACATGAAGCAAATGAGCAAGTTGCATGATGGATCTTATCTCCATACTTCTAGTGCTGCTGGTAGGACAAAATCTGCTAGGGATAGTTCAAGTCTAATCAAACAAATCTTCTGGAGCAAGAGATTTGTTAGGAAGAAAGTGAAGCAGAACCTAGATTCTATTGCCAGCAGTTCAAATCTCTGTAATCAGAATCTTAGTCCCGTGCAGAACTCTCCTCTGGGGAACAGGAGGAAAGAAAATATAGAAGCTTCTCCAGTATCCAGAAGCTCTTGTCACAGCATTGAAGTCAATTCAGGGATTGTTGAGACAAGTTTTGAACCAGCTTCCATTTCAAAGTGCAGTAACAAAACCAGAGCCATGGTGACCAAAGCTGACGAAAGATCAAGATCAAGATCAAGAGACAAGGGAGGGTTTTCCCAGAGCTCAAAAAGTAGCATTGCAGACTACAGTAGGAGCACAAGTACTAGTGAGGAAAGCAATCTCAGCACACCTAGTTGCAGTGGTGGTAGGCCACACATGTCAAAAAATTTGAGGTGGGAAGCTATTCACTCTGTTCAGAAGCAGCATGGGAACTTGGGTTTGAGGCACTTCAAGCTTTTAAAGAAAATTGGTTCTGGGGATATTGGAACTGTTTATCTTGCTGAATTAACTGGTACAAGCTGCCTATTTGCTTTGAAGATTATGGATAATGAATTTTTAGTGAGCAAGAAGAAAATGGCTAGAGCCCAAACTGAAAAGGAGATACTGCAAATACTAGATCATCCTTTCCTCCCTACCCTATATGCCCATTTTGCTACAGATAAATTTTCATGCTTGGTTATGGAGTATTGTCCCGGTGGAGATTTGCATGTGTTACGGCAGAAGCAACCTGACAGGAGTTTTTCTGAACCAGCAACCAGGTATGGATATGTTCAGCTACTCTGTAAGCTTCACTATGTAATATCACCGAGACCTTGGGCAATTTCCTTTTCCTTTTTTTAATCTAAAGTAGATATTATTTATGTCTGTATTTTCAGTGAATTGCTTGTTACTATAAGAATAAGACCTAGCCTTTATCATGGAAGAAAACTGGTAGAGCTCATTGTGATGGGAGAATAGGTGTATGAGAGAACTTTACTGCATCTGTATAACAATTTAACATTCCAAAGTGTCAAATGCTGTCTTCTTCCACAATTTCATATTTTTCCTGGTCCTCATATATTCTTTTGTCTAATTCATGCTAATGTATTGGCAGGTTCTATGTTGCTGAAGTTCTCCTTGCATTGGAGTACCTACACATGCTAGGTGTTGTATATCGAGATTTAAAACCGGAAAATATCTTGGTTCGTGAAGATGGTCATATCATGCTCACAGATTTTGACCTGTCACTCAGATGTGCTGTCAATCCAGTGCTGCTTAAATCATCTTCACCTGCTGTTGATCCTAAGGAGAAGAAGTCAAATCCATGCTCAGAATCTAGCTGCATTGAACCTTTCTGTCTCAATCCATCCTTTCAAGTTCCATGCTTCACTCCTAGGCTTCCATCACTCGCTCCCAAATCATGGAAGATAAAATCTGACTTGGCTGCTCAGGTTAACCCTATGCTACAGCTTGTAGTGGAGCCAACAAGTGTGCGCTCAAACTCATTTGTTGGAACGCATGAATACCTAGCCCCTGAGATTATCCAGGCCGAAGGCCATGGGAATGCTGTTGATTGGTGGACGTTTGGTATATTTCTATTTGAGCTATTATATGGGAAGACCCCTTTCAAGGGTTCAGCAAATGATGAAACACTAGCAAATGTGGTGTCACATAACGTTGGGTTCCCCAGTAGCCCTATAGTCAGTTTCCATGCAAGAGATTTGATCAGAGGGCTTTTAGTAAAAAATCCAGAGAATCGACTAGGATCAGTGAAAGGAGCTGCAGAGATCAAACAGCACCCTTTCTTTGAAGGCCTAAATTGGGCACTCATAAGGTGTGCAACACCACCAGAGATGCCAAATTTCTGCAATGCTGGAATTGCTGCACCAGTTACAGCCCTACAAACAGAAGAGCACACAGTGTTCGATATGTTTTAGCTAGAGCTTATCAAATATTGATGAGGATCAAGTCTCAGTCTCTGCTTAACAGAGTGTTGTTTCTGATCCCCTTGTAACTCATATAATAGCATAGTGTATAAATACAAATGTTATTCCTAAAACATGACAAGTCATTAGCAGTATGATATAAATATATACTGTAGAATGTAGTTGTCTCTTGAAAATGTGTAGCAACAGTGTCCAATTCGGCTTCCATGCAAGACCAGCCTTGACGGCAGTTCAACTCTCAGTCTCACCAAGAACTCAGAAAATACACGCTTCCCCTCAATAAATATGGAGCAATTCAAATAAACAGGATTCATTGCGTGGAATTTTCTTGGAAAAAAACGAAAATGTTATATCTACAATTGTCCATCACGGGATTACGTGTACCCCCCAAAAAAAAAAAAAGCGGTCTCCATCATAAATCCACGAGTCCCAGACGAGGAAAAATTCTGCTGTATCCGAGGATATCGTGGTATTTTCAGTCAATTATAGTGTGTTACATCATCATTTTTACTATTGAGTGAGCTGGTATGGTCAATGAGAAGAAGAATTTTTTTTTGATGATGTGATATGTTGTGATTGACAAAGGATACCATATTAACAAAATTCTGGAATACAACAAACTTTCCCTCATGTGAAAATATCAAAATTCTTACAGTTACGTATTTTCGAGAGTCATGAGTATGATAGCATTACTGAACAATATCAACGATGGTAATATAAAGATAATATTTTTATATAATTTTTATGTATTATTAAATAAATAAAAAAATTAATATTTAAATAATATATAAAGCTATTTCAAAATTAAGAGATTGAAATTTGAGATTAAAATATAATATTAATAATAAGATTTACGTTACATTATTTAAAACATTAAAAAAATTATATTTTTTAATAATTAATTTTTTAATTTTTAAATTTTAAATACTTATAATATTATATATTAGTTAATTTAATAATATGATATAAATTACATTATTAATAATACTAAATTTCTGTATTAAATTTTTATTTAGGTAAGAAAAAAAAAGGACTAACCCATTAATTTTATTAGCATTTGACATATTTTAACCACTTATTCCTGTCGTATTTCCTCGATGGCATGTTAATGATTTGTTTTTACAACATATTCACAACACTTTCCATGGTCGACCAACTTCTCTCCTCTCCACTCTCTCGACATCCAACTATCTATTCGCACTCTCCCACTCTCCTGCTTTTGGGTTTCCCATAAGAGCGTCGATGGCCTCTTCAACACCTTCCACGGAGACACCAAACCCTTCTCCGTCCCCTTCGTGTAGTGCTCGGGCAACGTCTTCAGGAGCCCAGCTGCAGAGGGATGTCTTCAAAGATATCGTAAAGAACAGAGGCCTCGATTCCCACTTCAAAATTGACTCTTCTGGCACCACTGATTACCATGAGGTATACCCCCTGATATTACCTTTTTGTCTGTTTGTGGTGATTGTGTGTGTTTATTTGTTTCTTCAATGGTTTTTGTGATATTTGAAGGGAAGTTAATTTAGCAGACCCAAGAATGAGGGCAGGCTCTAAAAGGCATGGGATTGAGATTACATCTATTTCAAGGCCAATCCGGCCGTCTGACTTCAGAGATTTTGATCTTATTCTTGCAATGGATAAACAAAATAGAGGTACCTCAATGATTCATTGCTTTTCTTCAGTTTTTCTGATGTTGCAGTTTTTTTTTTTTTTAATGGATTATACTAAATATTTGTTGCGTGTAGAGGATATACTGGAGGCTTTCAACAGGTAGAAGTTTACAGAGACACTCCCTGATGATGTACATAAGAATGTCTGTAGAACAGTGTTGTTTGGACTATCTGTAAAGTGTTGTTTGAAAGTTTGACACTGTCCCTAATCTTATGTGCAGGTTAGGCTGATATGCTCTTATTGTAAGAAACATGATGAAATCGAAGTTCCAGATCCATACTATGGTGGACCCCAAGGTTTCGAGAAGGTAATACTTGACTTTCTTCTTGTAAGTTGGAATGTGAACAATTGAGATAAGCAACTTTTCGTATTCTAAGTGGAAGATAAAGTAGCTTGATAGAATAGAATTCATTCAAACAATGGCCAGGCTATTTAATGTCAAGATTGGTGGCAATATTTGATTGATGCTTTGTCTCAGATGATGTCCCTTGTTTTGATCTTAGTTTGGCATGTTATGATGGTGAATGTCATTATTGCAGGTTGTGATTTTTGTTTCCATGGCAGGTTGTAGACTTGCTTGAAGGTGCATGTGAATCATTGTTGGACAGCATCTTGGTAGAGAACAGTCATCTAAATTCTTAAGTTCGGCATGAAAGCCGGTCAAATCCATCTCGGGCTGATTATCAGCTGAATAAATATCAATACATCCACAATGTTCACCGTGGTTGGCTTAATGGACCTCTTACTATCCCTCTTTGTCAGTTGCCTGATTATTGTATTTTGTATATGCTTTGCAGATTAACCGAGTCACTGAACCTACCAGAATATGTATGAAGAGATACCAAACCAAACCAGGTGATATGTTTCATTCATATCTATAGGTGTTAGCTTGTGAGTTAGTTCTTGGATGGATCCTGAACATGAGTGAAGTGTGATCTATTGGATTATCTAAAAATGCAGTCATTCGAATATCAATGATTGTTTGCTTGATTTTCATTATGAAACACTAGCCAATGTGGTGTCACATAGCCTTGGGTTCCCCCAGTGGCCCTATTTTCAGTTTCCATGCAAGAGATTTGGTCAGACTATCAGAGGGCTTTTAGTAAAATTCCCAGAGAATCGACTAGGATTAGTGAAAGGAGTTGCAAAGATCAAACAGCACCCTTTCTTTGAAGGCCTAAATTGGGCTCTTATACGCTGTGCAACACCACCAGAGATGCCAAATTTCAGCAATGCTGGAATTGGTGCACCTGTTACAGCTCCACAAACAGGGGCAAACAGAGTTTGATATGTTTTAGCTAGAGCTTATCAAATATTTGATGGGGATCAAGTCTCAGTTTCTGCTTAACAGTGAGTTGTTTCTGATCCCATTTTAACTTATATAATAGCATTGTGTATAAATATAAATGTAATTCCTAAAACATGGCAAATTATTGGCAGTATGATATAAATATAGAGTAGAATTTAGCTGACTATTGAAACCGTGGAGCAGCAATGTCCAATTCAGCTTCCATGGCAAAACCAGCCTTAACAGGGTTCACCTTCCAAGCCTTAACAGGAGTTCAACTCAGAAAATACCTGCTTCCCCTCTTTTTCCCCTTTTTTTTTCTTTTTTTTTTTTTTTTAACCAAAAAAAAAAAAAAACAAACAAAGTTTAAATGGTGCAATTCAGATAAACAGGACTTATTGCATGGAATTTTCTTGCAACTAAAAACAAATTATTATATTCTACATTTGTATCATCTGACCCCATCCCATTAGTTAGTGTCCATCACAAATCCACAAGCCCCAGACCAGAACACCAGAATTCTTACAGCTCCATACTTCTGGAGTCATGAGTCTGAGGGCATCATTGAACGGTATCAGTATCACTCCTGGATTACCATCATTTCCTCCAAATTTACGATTTTGCCACTCCACCCATTACCTTTCCATCAAAGCTCCTTCCTTTCCATCGTCGGCCAACTTCTCTTCTCTCCAGTCTCTCCACACCCAACTATCCATTCCCACTCTCCGCCGGAATCACGATCCCTCTCCTGCTTTTGGGTCTCACATAAGAGCTTCTATGGCCTCTTCAACACCGTCCACCGCCACTGACGGGGAGACCAAACCCTTCGCCGTCCTCTTCGTTTGCTTGGGCAACATCTGCAGGAGCCCAACTGCAGAGGGTGTCTTCAAAGATATCGTCAAGAAGAGAGGCCTCGACTCCAACTTCAAAATTGACTCTGCTGGCACCATTGATTACCATGAGGTATATCTTTGATATTACCTTTCTGTCTGTTTGTGGTGACTCTGTGTGTATATTTATTTCTTCGATGGTTTTTGTGATATTTGAAGGGAAATTTAGCAGACCCAAGAATGAGGGCAGCCTCTAAAAGGCGTGGGATTGAGATTACATCTATTTCAAGGCCAATCCGGCCATCTGACTTCAGAGATTTTGATCTTATTCTTGCAATGGACAAACAAAATAGAGGTACCTGAATAGTTCATTGCTTTTCTTCAGAGATTTCGATGTTGTTTATGGTTTAGATGGAATTAGTATTGCGCCTATACTAAATAATTGTTGCATTTAGAGGATATATTGGAGGCTTTCAACAGGTGGAAGTTTAGAGAGACACTTCCTGATGATGCACAAAAGAAGGTCTGTAGAACAGTGTTGTTTGGACTTTCTGTAAATTGTAGTTTGAAAGTTTGACATTGTCCCTAATCTTATATGCAGGTTAGGCTGATGTGCTCTTATTGTAAGAAACATGATGAAACCGAAGTTCCAGATCCATACTATGGCGGACCCCAAGGTTTTGAGAAGGTAAAGCTTCACTTTCTTCTTGTGGGTTGGAATGTGAACAATTGAGATAAGCAGCTTTTCAGGTTCTACGTAGAAGATGGAGCAGCTGATAGAACTAGAATTCATTCAATGGCCAGGCTTTTTATATGTCAAGATTGGTGGCAGTATATGACTGATGCTTTGTCTTAGTTTAGCATGTTATGGTAGTGAAACTCATTATTGCAAGTTTGTAGTGATTTTTGTTTCCATGGCAGGTTTTAGACTTGCTTGAAGATGCATGCGAATCACTGTTGGACAGCATCTTGGCAGAGAACAGTCATCTAAATTCTTAACTCCTACATGAAAACCGGTCAAATCTGTCCCAGGCTGATTAACAGTTGAATAATATCAATACATCCACATTGTTCACCGTGGTTGGCTTAATGGACCTTTCACTATCCCTCTGTCCATTGACTGATTATTGTATTTTGTATATGCTTTGCATATTAACTGAGTCATTGGACCTACCAGAATATGTTTGAAGAGACACCAAACCAAACCAGGTGATGTGTTTCATTCCTATCTATGGGTGTTAGCTTGTGAGTTAGTTCTTGGATGGATCCTGATCACCATTGAAGAGTAATCTATTGGATTATCTAAAAAAGCAGTTATTTGACTATTAATCATTGTTTACTTGATTTTCATTACATGAAATAATTCTTCTTGCTTTACAGATAAAATTTCTTATTAGCATTTTTTCTTGGCGAATCCAAGTGATGTAACAGATTGAAAACGAAAAAATCGCCTGCAAGCTTCAAGAATCTTGTTTCCTTTCTTAGTTGATTCTGTTGGTGGCATCATGAGCAGATCATCTTCTCCATTTCCAACCAAATCATATTCGTTATCAATCCTCTGATACTTCTCCATGACAGAAGGTGATGCCCTCATGGAAAATGCTCTCTTCACTGCATTTTCAAGCCTTGAGTTCTGTTTATCAGCTCTCATTGAAACTGTTTTCCTCACCGCACTATCAAGCTCATGCCTTTCTTTCTCTACCTTCAACTCATGAAGATTTGTTGACAAACTGCAGCAGTCTCTGGTTAGAATAAACCCAGAAAACTCCTCATCCTCCTCATCTTCTCCATGTTCTTGAAGCAGAAACGAATCATGGGCATCTAGATCACTGTCTAAGGTACTGGGATTGATCTGCATTTGTTTTGTGTCTAGGGGTTTGTAGGATGGAATGGACATGGGTGTCTGAGGAGATGAATGATCAAACGAATGAACTCACCTTGTTCTATTGGCACTTGTTTGATATATACCCTGATGCGGTGTGACTGCAAGGCATCTGTAAAATGTGATGCCTAAAAATTTCTATCCAGAAAAGACCCATTTTCTCAGAAAATGGAAAACATGTCTTCTCCATCATATCCTGTTTACGCGTGTGAAATGACAGAAGTCTTAATTGGATAGCTAATTTGACCTACTTTAACATATGCTACAAAGATTAAAAAAGTCCGGAAAGCGAATTCATTGATAAGATTTAATGACTTCCATGTTTTCACTGTCTCTTAATAGATTATTTGAAATAATTTATATCATATAATCCAGATGAAACCAGAACAAGCCAATGCAATTTTAGAAAGTGATATCCAGTGGACCAATCATCAATTGAGTATCTCTTCAACCTTGATTCATATAGGGTGGTTGATGAGTTAAGCTGCTGTGAATTAATTGACAAATTCTATCCCTGTCAACTGAGTTGACCCAGCATGAATTTGTAGGGCAACATCTCCAACAATCTGTAATTAATTGCAGAAAAGCCAATTTGTCATGATAAAATTTTGAAAAACATCATACAATTACTAGCAAATGAGCAAAATACCCATTGATCAAATATGAAGCATTAGTTCAAGATGATATGCTGAGATAAGGTGCATCTTGTAACATATTTAAAAGTGCATAGATCATATCAAAAAGCAATGCATAAGGTGCATACCTTCGCCATTGATCTGTAGGAGTGTTCTGTGACCCCGGCAACATGAGGTGTAATTAGAACATTATTGAACTTCAATATTGGATCACTGGGATCAAAAGGTTCAGTCCATGCAACATCGATGCCTAAGCCTCCCAAGTGACCAGATTGAAGATGTTGAGCAACGGCCTCATAATCTAGCAGGCCTCCTCGAGCAATATTTACTAGAAGAGCACCCTGAAATGACAATGGAAAGGGTTGTTCAAGGGAACAACAATGATACAAGTCTAAAGATACCTTCAACCACCAAAAGACAGAAAGTAACTGACATAAGAACATCCAGAAAACAGAAAAATGTAGTTTAAACTGTAGTTTTTGATTGACTGTAACAGCATTCTTGCTGCTCTTTGTAGATTGAGTGATTGGATAAATGAAAATTTTACATTCTATCCGAAAAAAAGAAAGGAACATCCAGACACAAATGTAGAAAAAGAAAAATGACCGTATGACAACACTTGTCCCCCAACTATTCTTTCATTGTTGTTGCCAACTTCTGAACTTGAAATTGAATACCCCCACTGAGTTGTTAGCTGCTAGTTGCAATTGTTGTTATTGTGAAAGAAAAAAAAAAATTCAATCACAATTATACAATGCATGTGTAACACACCTTTCTCATTGAAGATATGAATGACTTGTTTACAATGCCAGCCTGAAAGTTTGAAATATCCAAAGTGTAAGTAATAGGACTCTTATCAAACTTTATGTATCTAACACAATCTTGAATTTGAAAATGTCAAGTGCTTCTCAACTCATACATTTTTAAGTTATGAAGGAAATATAGATACTTAAATTTTGTCTCCAAAACATAAATAGTGCATCATGTTGGTTTAAGATGTGAATTCATTATGCATCTATCCCACTCTACATGTCTCATGAAGATGGCATCCCACAAGCAGGCAATATCATAATCTGTGAAAGTGCAGAGCTTAAAGTAGAGAAGCAAAATATCTGCCTTACCGTTTCTTTGTTTAAAGTCAAACAACAAACAACTATGTCTGCATTGCTAGCAAACCGATGTAAGTCTTCATGACTTCCTTTTTCATCAACCAAATCATCAGTTATCCCATTTGCTGAAGATACAGAAACATACTTAATGAAGATGCCTGCAACTTTGAGTTTCACTATTTTTATAATATTAGGCTAGTAGCCAACACATACCATTTGATTGGAGGGGAACTTCTGAATTTGAGCTCCACCTCCGCTTTGTAGCAATGATTTTCACACCAAATGGTCGCAAGCGCTTTGCCAATTCAATTCCAATATTTCCAAATCCCATAATGAAGACCTCCACAAACAAAGGGAATATGAACAATGGAGAAAACAAAATTTTAAACACGATGCAGAAAAAGCAAATGGCCAGATTTTTTGTTTTATCAAAAAACTTACTTTACTAATCAAATATTTCAGAATGTGTAGTTTCACCAAATTCAAGAGAGAATCCTATGTCGTTTCCTACTCCCATGAGCCATGCAAATGCATATAGGTCACAAATAAATATCTTAAAACCTTCTAAGAGTTATCCTAGTATCCGAATATACTCATATCAAAAAGTTTGTTAAAATTACCACAAAGTATTATCAAGTGTCAGCTGTTAAAGCAATATAGGCACTGTCAAAATGCACTACTAAAAGGGCCTAGCTTTAATTTCATTCATATCTGTCTAAGCCAGTTTTTAAAAACTTATTTGCACTTCACAGCTTATCACTTATTTGCAATAACATAAGATCTTCAGAAAAGAACATCAAAGGAGTGTTTAATTGGGAAGGAGGAATTATTAATCTAGAAACTCACTGTTTTTCCCAGTATTGTTTCACCAACTGGCTCTCCAAGCATTTTCTCCTCTATAGAGATTTGTATTTCTTTCTGCAAGAAAAGCATAATTACTTGATGATGAAAATATGATGAGAACAAAGATGTTTGAACTTCAAAGTTGAATACAAGGTGGATCCTACTCAAAGCCAGACAAAAAAGAGCTACCACAATACAATATGCACACTAAATGAAAGATAGGAAAGAGATATAAGAGGATATTGAGACAGATAACACTTACAATATGCAGCAGTGATTGATGAATCATTATGATGTAACTTATATTGCAGAGTAAAATTGAGATGGGTTGGGGTACACCTTGTACTCAATAAAATTATACATTTTTTTGCTGATTTAATAAAAAGAAGAAGAAGATGAAGATGAAGAAGAAGAGAGAGGCAGGAGTGAAGAATTTGGACTGAACTCCATAGATGTTTAAGATGATCAGATAAAAGGGAACTACTAATGGTAAATCAATTTCTTAAACACAAAATTATCAACCCAGAGAAGAAAACAATAAAAAATGAACTTCAACTAATGTTAAAAATCAGGAAATAGATAATGAGCTTCAACAAAACATGTCATTAACCATACATGCTTTGCAGAAAAAAGTTGCATGAGTTGGCAAAACACAAAAGCCAGGTACAGTTTCTAGGTTAGATCATAATTTGCTGGACAGAGAAAATGAAGTTATGCCTTTTCTTCTTCATATACGAAGCTCAACTCTTCTCAATTACTAAATTAAACAAAAACCTGTTTCCGAAGAAGGCCCAACATTAGATAGATGGCCATTTCAGCACATGACACTGCATTTCCAGTTGCATCACCTGGAATTCTAGCGACTTTGATCCCATGCTTTGTAGCAGCATCAACATCAACACCTTCATGCAGAAAAACATAGAGACAAAGAAAATGTTCATATATAATAGACCAAAAGCTTAAGGTCATGAAATATAGAAATGTAAAACATGGACCTTCTAGGCCAACACCAAACTGCAGAAGAAGCTTCATCTGGTTTGCATGAGATATAACATTTGAATCTAGCCGCATGTTTTTTATCACACAAATATGGTAGTTTTTTATTACATCAGGCACGGCATCAAGGGGAACATCATCAACCTACAAGGAGTTTTAGCAGACAGCAAGCCGTAAAATAAACAACATCAACTTCAATTTCTCAAAGAAGTCTGAAAGTAGATCTATTCCACCAAAGCAAGCATCTTTTGTGCAAATTTTGTTAAAAAAGAAAAAACTTCTACCAGAATAAGAATCGGTATTCAACCTTACTAAGAGCACTGATATATATGAGCATGCTTCTGACTGCATGTTTAATTTGACAGCCTCATGTTCTCTGTATATATCTATTTAATTTTTTGTGAGCATGAGTGCAATGAAGTAAATACCTGGATAAAGGGATAATTTTGCAAGTATTCTCTAGTATAGTTCTGAGATGCTGTAAAATGCAGTCCACAAAAGAGAACACGAGTTATGTCCTTGTCACTACCCACATCCATTCTGCCACCTATTCCAAAATTTCAGCAATGTAGGATCTCAAAATCAGCATAGAAGGTTCCAAGAGAGCAATGGTACTGTTAATGCTACTCATTAAATGAAAATAATAGATAATTAACTGCTGATTATCATAGAGTTGAAATTAGTTCTTAGCAAACTAACTCTACTTAAAATTAGCATACCAACAAACCCAGATATTATATTGTGAAACCTGATGTATCTATGCTGGATATGCTCATATGCATACATTGCTCCGTATCAAAGAAGGAAAGAGTCATAGGGGCTCATACCAACATAAATAAAGAGAAAATAACCTTGCTATAATACGCCTGATGTCTAAAATGTCAAACTAAGTCCCTGATCAGTTAAGAGCAGGAGGAAGGTCATCTCTGCCTGCAATTTGAGAGATTTCCAGCTGTATCCTTCCACCCACAAGTTCAGTAAGTTTCAGTTTTAGTGCAACAAAAGTAGATAAAACACAGGGCTGTTTGGTTAGAGGGCCACTTTATTAGGAAAATAGTTAAGAAAGTAGTGTATGAAAAATTATGAAAAGTTAGAAAGAAAATACTGTGTGAAAAGTTTTGTAATGAAATTTTGTTAGAATTTTATTGGATTATTAACTTTGTTGTTGTGTTTAGTAAGGAATTGATATAGGGAAAGGTACTAGGGAAAGTTGTTAAATGAGCTCAATATAGGAAAAATTGGAAATTTTTCTCTTTCAAAATCGGTTGGAAAACCTCTTTACTGTTTGAGAATTATATCAGGAAAAATAAATGTTCAAAATATTACTTTTATCCTTCTTTTATTGTAGTATTAATATATGAAAACACATAAACAGGCGCAAGGGAAAAGTTCAGAAGAAAAGTTTAGAGGGGAAAGGGACTCCCCAACCACACACCCCTCAGTGTTTCTGTTCAGATATACAGGATCGTAACATATCTGACCATTGAGTTCAAAGGGAAACAGGGTGTTTCTGTCTGGGGACCCAACTATATAATCCAAGAACAAAACAAGAGGACCAAAGAAATTTGAGAGATTTCCAGTTGTATCCTCCCACAAGTTCAGTAAGTTTCAGTTTTAACGCAACAAAAGTAAGTAAAACTCAGTGTTTTCCTTTCAGGATATCCAGGATCCTAATGATACATATCTGATCAAACACACAGACCATTAAATTCAAAGGGAAACAGGGTGTTCTTGTTTGGGGACCCAACCACATTCCAAGAACAAAAAATGTGGACCAAAGAAATTTGAAGAAGAAATTAATTCCAAGCTCTAAACCCATTAATTAAGAAGAAAGCAGAAGAAGAATTAAGCAGGCATGAAGAATATGGAAATGAAGTGATAGTGGGCACCTGACGAGAAGGGCAACTGAAAGCCTGAGACTTGAGAGAGGAGTCGTAACAGCTAAGACACAGCCCGTGGTGGTTTGAAGCGGCAGTGGCAAATTCTGTTTTAAACAAAATTTTACGGCAAAAACGCTTCTTAAGCCCCTCAACTTTTTCGACAGCAAGTGATAAGCCCCTGAACTAAAACTGATGCGAATAAGCCCTCCAAGCCCCCGTCTGAAGCAAATAAGCCCCTCCGTTAACAAGCCCCTTAACGTCGTTTGTTTAATGACTTGCGTGGCATTTAATTTACAGGTTGGATGCAACGTGTCATTAGTAGTGCGTGAAGAGAAATTATTCATCTTAAACAAAGAAAGTTAATACCAAAATTTAATCTCTATACTTCATAAATACATTTTGTAATCTCTAAAATTTTTCATTTTAACTATTTTAGTTCATTTTGTCAACTAAGCACTAGTGTGGTTTTTTTTTTTTTTTTGGTAATAATTTTTTTCTTTAATTTTTAATGCTAACATGAAAACTAAAATTATACATTCAAATTTTTTTTAATGAGATGGTATTTTATTAAAGTATAATCAATCCATTTGCTTTAATTAAATGTATTATTCTTAATTTATGAATTAATTGATTCATTCTTCAATTAAATTACAATTTAATTGCATTTGATTTTTTTTCGAGTCAACTGACAGCCTGTCTGTTTAAAGTGCATTCTCCCTTTTCTATGGATGGGCTTCAAACCCACCCCTTGACAACTTATTAAAATAAAAATTACAGATTTAATTATTATTACAAAAACTTTACCATAAATTATAAATTTTTTTATTTAATCCATTAATTAATTAATTAATTCTATATTTTTAATTGTAAATTTAATTCTCATGACAAAATCTCCATCTCAATTTTGTTTTTTTGAAAATTTTGGGATTATTAATAGATATATATGGGGGAGGGGGAAATCCATCTCAATTTTTTTCTTCCAGTTTTCAACCCAAATTGTTATTCTTTCCATCCTCAACAAAATTAAATCTTCCCTGCAAATTTGTTCTCCTCATTCCTTTACAATTTCAATTCAAATTTGTTCTCAAAGAATCAATCACCTCTCCCCTCCACTGATGTCACAATTGGGCTACTAAACCAGAAACCCTAGATCTAGATCTAGTTCCCAAACCAACAATGGCGACACAAGAACAAATGAAAAAAAAGAAGAAGAAGGAAACCTAGATCAAAGTAAGAGAAAATAAAAGAAATCAGATTCAAATTTGTTGTCATTATCTTGAACATATACAGATGCACTTTTGTCTCTCCTCAACAAACTTTCTCCTTGAAATCCAAGTTCAACAACTTGCAGAACCCCAGATCCATTCAAACACCAAGCCAACAATGGCGAAGTCAAGAAAGAATAAATGAAAAAAAGAGAGAAACCCAAATCAAAGTAACAGATCAAATGAAAACCACCGAACAGGAAACATGCAAAACAACAAAAAGTAAATGCCAGAATCTCAACCTTCGAGAAATTGACAAAAATTTGATCTTCTAAAGAACCCATTGCTCGCTCAATCATCGTGGCAAAGAAGACCTGATGAGGAACAAAGTGAAAGGGATAAAAGTCATTCCTCCCTCAATCATCGTGTGATGGTGAGGAACCCAGATCTAGTTCAAGTAAAGAAGAGAAAAAACTAAGATCTAGTTTTGATGGAGGAGAGCAAGAGGAAAAAGACTTTTGGATCGATGGAGAAAAGGTGGAGAGATTTGGTTCAAGCAAAAGAGAAGGAAAATGAAAAGAACAAAGGAGGGGAGAGTAGAGGAAGAGGGAGGTTGAAGATGAAGTTATAAGGGCAAATGTGTAATTTTAACTTTTATAATATTATTTTTTTGTGCACTTCATCCCACTATAAAGTATTTGTTGGATGCAACGTGTAAATTAAATGCCAGACAAGCCATTAAACAAACGACGTTGAGGGGCTCGTTAACAGAGGGGCTTATTTGCTTCAGACGGGGGGTTGGAGGGCTTATTTGCATCAGCTTTAGTTCAAGCGCTTATCACTTGCTGTCGAAAAAGTTGAGGAGCTTAAGAAGGGTTTTTGCCAAATTTTACAACCCCCACGAGGCCACGACCCACCGCCATTTATGGAGATATAGGAAAAGAGATTGGTTAAATCTTTAATTTGGTCCCTAAATTATTGTATGGCCTCTGATTTGGTCTCTAAATTATTGTATCAACCTGATTTGGTCCCTAAACTATTGTATGGACCTCCAATTTGATCTACTGTTTATCAATCTATCCCAAATTGATCCTTCTGTACAAAAACCAATTAACGTGTCTTGTGATTAACGTAACACGTGACTATTAGGTTACTTTTTTCATTATTAAGTTACTATTTTTCGACATTAAATAATGGACATATCAGTTTTTTTTGTACGAAATAATCAATTTGGGGTAAATTGGTAAATAGCATGGACCAAATTGACGGTTTGTATAATAGTTCATGGATCAAATTGGGGGTTTAACCAAAGAGATTTTTTATAATGTACATTTTTTTATCATTAATATTCATAATGAAATTAAAAAGTTAATAATAAATT